CAACGAACTTGCGCCATTTAAGACAAATGACTGAAAAAGGCTAAAAATTGCCGTTGTCCTGTTTGAAAATGGTTTGTGCCACGAAAATTGTTAGCTAAACGAATGACTTAAGCAACGAACTTGCAGCTAGCTAGCTAGTCGGCTGCTATCCTGCTTTTATGAGCTCGCCAGAAATGCAGTTAAGTTAGTTTTCAAAAAGCTTTGGCTTTAACTACAATTTGTAGCATAAGCTGTTGCATCAGAGTCCAACGCTTAGGCCGCTTGCCTAATGAACTTGCCGCGAACTATTAATCAATGTGAGAAATGGAAAATAAAACGAGCGCAGCAGCCCAGCTGGGTGGCAGGTGCTATCAAAAACTGGTTCACAGGGCGATGCGTTTGCGTCGAAATCGAACAAGTTGACACTCATTACACAAAAAAAAGTTTTGTTAGCTATAAAAAAGCTGAGTTTTCCGCATTTTTTGGCGCGTTTTTTTCAAGATTCGTTACGATTTTTTGTTTTGGCCGCAAAACTTGAGCGAACCAAAAACAGACGAGTGCAGGCCAAAAAATACCTTACAGATGTGTGTGTGTGAAGTGAAAAGCAAAGCACAGAAATTACTTGCAAAAAAGTAGCAACAACAACAAACAACAACGTTTTGGCGGCTGCTTTCGTTTTCAGTTTTCATTTGGCCTGCACGCTTCAACTGGCTATTGCCCGTCTGCGCGCCATGGCGTGCAGCTCATGTAAACGTAGCAGCAGCAACAGCAACAACTAAAACAACAACAACAACAACATCAGCCACAACATAAACTGTGAGCACTAAATTTTCCACGAGCGAGTGAGTTTGAAAACGAAACTGAATTTCTTTCTTTCAACATTTGTAAGAAGTAAAGCAAAACAAGTAAGCGTACTTGGGAAAGTAAAGCACGACTAGAAGGTACCCTAGGCATTCAGTTGTTGCTCGAATGTATACAGTTTGAGCAGCATTGGTCATATATGTAGACTTTAGGTAGATTAATATACCAACATTTTTTTACCTATTGAACTAACTAATTGAAATTTGATTTACATTTTGGTCGATTTGATCTAATGATGATCTGAGCTTGGTATAGCAGAAACTATGTGTAAGCAGTGTGTAGTTCTTTTAGGACATACATAGATATATACATATACAGAGAGATATGAACCAAATGATAGATGGCAGAAAGAAAGGCGTATAATGGGCGAAAGTGAGAGGAATTGAGATAGAGTTAGAGTTAGTAAGATGGATTGACTGACCGACAGAAGATTAAACAGAGAGTTAGAAAGATGGATAGCCTAAAGAAAGAGAGAGAGTTAGCTAGAGATAGACAGAGGGAGAGACAGAAGAACAGACAGAAATACGGATGAGCAGACAGAGTGATGCAGAGAGTCATATACAAATATATAGACAGAGATATGACACAGAGATAAACAGAGTAAAATGTCTAGATTGACTTCTCTCCTAGTGCTCCCCAAGAATATGTCACAGTCAGATCTACTTCCGCCCTTCTAATATCAATTTTACACAAGAAACAGTATACCCGCTTTTGTCATTCACAATGAGTATGGAAAACGTTACGAGTTACGTTGACCATCATTAGTTGGCTTAATAAATGTTCGCTGAATGAAAGCAGCGGCTATTTAAGTTAGCTTTTTTTCATTTATATATTTTTTTTGCTGATTTGTGCTTATCACACGAATGCAATCAGCAACAACAACAACAACAACAGCAGCAGCAGCAGCAGCAACTACAGTTTCAAATCTTTGCTTTTCACTTTTTCAAATGGCCCTACGAAAGTTTGTTTTTTAGCTTTTATTTATTAGAGATTGATGATGCTATAGCAGCAGCAGCAGCAGCAGCAGCAGCCGCCGCCGCTGCTGCTGCTGACGAGCGGAAATATGAAGTAAGATAGCTCATAATATTTTTCACTGTGTCTGTTTGTTTAACAAGCGTTTTGTTTGCCTGATTGCGGCGGGCTATACAGAAAGAGACAACAACAACAACAACAGCAACAAAATGAACGCACAACAAACACCTATTGTGGCCTACACGTGCACTTAAAACACAATTTAGATGGCCACGAAACAATGTTCAATGATATAATGTTTTAATAAAGAGATTTAAGGCGGGACTCGGATGCTGCTGATGCTGCTACTCCTGCGATAAGCCATTATCTTGGCGGTAACCACGTGCCGCAGCACTATCTAAGTAATGCTAATAATAATAACAATTCCATTAGCCCTTTCGGCCAGCTTTTATTGTTATTGTTGCGGGCGTTAACAACTTTCAACGTGCTGTCAATGATACGTGCGCTGGGTTTTATTTAGTAGCCCAATAAAAATGTTGTTTTTGGACAATGGAAACTGCCTTTTTGACAGCTCCCAAGTGTTCAGAGTGAATAGATTTAGTTTTAGCTAAGAAGTAGAAGTAGTAGAGCTTGTCTTAGGGTAAGAGAGTTTGATAGTAATAAGAGTTTGAGCTCTAGAACTCAGTTGTTGCTGCATATTTAGTGAGTATATAAAGAGAGACATTTATAGAGTTATATACATATATAGAAATATAAATAGTTTTTATTTGCATTAAAACAAAATGACATATTTGAGTAAATAAATTTATTTAAATTGTCAGCAGTTAAAAGTTGCTGACTTAAATGGACTCAAATTATAAATCAACTAAGCTTAAAAGATAGCACATTAATAAATATAAATTTAATAATTAATTACTATTATTGATAGAAAAGTTGCTAAATTTGCTGCAGCAATAAATTGAATATTTTTATTTTAATTTTAAATTTAGTTTTATATATTGTTATAAAAAAATAGAAAAAAAATGTTGTTGAAGTTATTATTAACAAAAAAATTATTAAACAAAAAAAAAACTATAATAATTTGATTAAATATATAAGTTTAAAACTTTGAACTAGCAATACAAATAACTTAATAAAAAAAATGATTATTAAGGTAAAAAAAAATCTTGCTAAAAAGTCTAGACTCATATATAATAATAATTTATATATAAAATATAAAAATATTTTATTTTAATTTCTTATTTTGCTGTTAAAGTTAAGTTTAAAAAAAATATATATTAAAAAAAACCTATATCATATAACAACAAAAAAATTCATTTTTACAAATTAAAAAAAAAAAAAACAATTATAAAAAGAAAATATATTAAGAAAGTTGAATTTTTAAAAAGTATTTAAATTGGGCAAAAATATTAGCGTTCTATTTTTTAGATAGCTTTACGCCACTAGCATATATCGAACATGCTCTGAAAGTTTTGTAATCGTATTTATTTAGAATATTTTTAGCTTTGTCTGCGCGCTAAAAATTTGCATTTGCTGCGCATCTGATTGACCCATTTTTGGCTGAGGATTTTGGCTAATGAATAACGAACATAAATTGTACTTCGACAGCAGATATATATATATATATATATAAAGTCTAAACCAATGGCTCATAAAAATGCGCAACGCATTTGTGAATAGAGAAGCTAAAGAAATTTTTTGCCAGGCCTAAAGAACAAAGTGCGTGGACAAAAGTGTGACACCAATCTTAAGCTTCAGATATATAAATACATATACAAATATATAAATATGTATGTATGTCTGATATATATACAAAAGCTGGGCATTATAGCGAGCTGACTGTGAGTGAAGGGAGCTTAGCTTCGATTTTTGTTTTTGCTTTTTTGGCAGTCATGCACTTTGACATGGCTGCAAGTGTGGCTTAACGGATATACTATATATATATATATATATATATATATATATATGTCTATATATATATTTATATGTCGATTGTGTTTTTTGTGCATTGCGCATTGCCTTTTTGTGTCATTGTTGTTGTTGTTGTTATTTGGTTGCTGTCATTGCGTTTGTAACTTTGCCACGACCTTTTTTATGTCTGCGCGCACGAAAACTCATTTGTTCATGCATATTGTTGTTGCTGTTGTTGTTGTAGTTTTTCTTTTGTTGCTTCTGAGAAAATGAAGTCAACTGTTGTTGTACGCCTTGTGACTGACATTTCCCATTAAATTGCCACGTTATTGTCTAAGAGTCTTACGATGTTGTTTCAGCTTCTTCTTCGCTGAGTTCTGGTTGGCTTTGTTGAGCAAAGGGGCGTGGAACAAGGGGGATTATTAAGACTTAGACTTAGCTAAATTTGTGCATATATTTTTTCTGTTGGCTTGTTGCATTTTCAACACTTTAGACACAGCGAGCTGCGCGCTTGTCTGTCTGCCTGCAGCTTCGTTTTTTTCGGGGCTTTTGCTACTTAAGCGCTTTTATGCGATTGTTTACATTTATGGCTGAATAATTGGGCGCTCTCTGCTGCTGCTGCTGCAACTTGTAGCTGTTGCTGTTGCCGCCCACTGCAGTGGCTGCGCCGCGCTGCGACTTCCTTCCCCAACAACTGTCGCAACACCTACCTGCAATTCTCGATTTCAGTCTCATCTCTGTTTTTAGGCATGTCTCTGCTTTATTAACTGCATTTGTCTTGGAGGCGTGCTGACAACTCATCACAGTCAGCCGCTCAGGGTCACAGCTCGCAGAGCCTAGCCGACTAACTGGAGCTTGACATTGTGTTGCTCTTAATTCTGCACTAATAGTTTTTAATTAAAGCCACAAAACATATATTAACTCCAAATGCGGACAACCTTGGCAGCAACAACAAAATATATACAATTTTTAATATTTTAAATACAAATGGAAAACGAAGCTAAACGAAAACGAAACCAAAAAAAAGCGTTAAACAAAGAGTGAGCGAGACGGATATATACTATTTATATATATATGTATTTATACATATATAAGCAGGAAGTGCACAACAGTACACACCAACACACACACACACATATATATTTGTTATATATATCTCTCCGCCTTCCTGTGCCTTGGGCTAAATATTACGCATACGCCGCGAGGGCCGTGTTGCATGCGTTGCATGCCGCATGCTGCTAGCTGCTTGTTGCATGCGTCTCTGACATGCTACTCACCTTTTGCTCAATTACTTTGCTGCTGTTGTCTGTGTCGAAATTGTTTTGCACACAAATTTTCCCAATGATTACGTTTGCATTCAGCTCTCGTTGCACTTGCAGCAGCTGCAGCTGTAATAATGATTTTATTTAAATTGATTGCAATTGATTTTCTTCTAATTTTTTAATATTTCTTTTATGATTATTTTTAATAAATTTTTTATAATTTCTTTTTAATAATTTATTTGACTTATAATTCGTTTAGCTTTTCACTTTTGTTTGTTTGTCTGGTATTTCACTTGGCCAAAAAAAACTTGTTTATTTAAATTTCTTTAAGGCGTTTTTTCTATTTAAAAATAGTTTATTTAATTATATTTTTTTACAAATTTTTCTTTTCGCTTTTACCGCAGTTTTATTTATACAAATTTCTAATTAAAGCAAAGAGTTTTTTCTAAGCTTTTGCCTTTGCCTTTGCTTTGCTTTTGATTTATATTTTCTTTTTTTTTCTTGTTGCTATTTTTTTTCTTTTCAATTTGTACTTATTTGTTTTGGTTTTGGAACGCACTTCAGTTGCATAACGACTGCTCGCACTAATAAAATTTTTTATTTATTTTTTTATATATGTTGATGACGAAGAAGAGGCAGCAGCAGCAGATGATGTTGCTGATGATGAGCTTGTGTGTGGGTTTTTTATTTGTTAAATTTTTTGTTAATACCCACTGTAACACGGCACCAGCTAACACGACGTATGCGTGTGTGTGTGTAATTTGAGTGTGTGTGTTTCTGTTTGTGCCGCAGCGACAGCAACAAAAGCAACTGGCAAACGCACTCGACGACTTTCGCGACACGACTGACGGCCAAGACGTTGTTGGCTACAAAGCTGGGCCTGGCTAACTGGCTGGCTGGCTGGCTGGCTAGCTAGCTGGCCTTACCGTAAGTTCGGTTACGTTGTCGAACGGGCTTCGGCTGCTTGAAAACTTTTATTATTTTACCTCTTCTTTTTGCTTCATGGCTTAACTTGGCTTAATAGCATTTAGCGTATCGCAGAGCACCGAAAAAAAGATCGAAGCTTTTTGTAAAGCTTGAGCTTGGCTTAAGAGTGCCAGCCGCCACTGCCGCTCTCTTAGCCATGTCTAAGACGTGCTCTTCTTTTACCTCTGTCAAAAGGTTGTGCTCCGTGCTCATTTGCATATATCTAGCATAAATCAAAGCAGCTTTCTATGTGTTAATTACATCATCTGATAGATGCGCCCAGGCATTTCTTTTTGCTAAATATTTTTATATTTTGTTTTGTGTAATATTTTTATTTTTACAAAATTTAAGTAGTTTTTTTTCTGGCGGTGCGCGTCGCATTTATCATTTTGTTTGTTCGAAAGCTTTTGTGCCGCGCACAGCAAGCCAAGCTCTAATATATGGCATATATGTAGCCACAGATGTTTAATACATTTAACGGTAATTTTTTTAAGGCGCATCTCGCGCGTGTTATTCTAATGACTTTTTCGTTGAAGGTCAACGCAGCTGTTAAATAACGTAAAATGTCAAAATGCTTACAAAAAAAAAACAAAAAACAAGAAAATCAAATCGACGCCCACACGAAAGACTTAGGCGACAAACGCAACACTCTAGACACTCATAAATCAGAGCAATCAATTGCTGAGATTTATGTGACATGCAATTAAACGACCTGAGCAATTGCGCTCTATTCTTTTAATAGAAAAAGAATACATAAAAAATTTATAAAAAAAATAATTTATAAAAATCATAAGAAAAAACTTTATAACATTTATAATGGCTGCAACAAGTGCAACAGCAAAATTAGCATAAAAATTCTAAGAGCTGCCATTTGGCTTTATCTCATGAACCTGTTCAACCTGTGGCGCAGAATCTAATTACAAAATCAAAGCAAATATATGCTGGCAGCGCGTCAATTAAACTACGCCAGGCCATCGAGACAGCCACTAACTCTAGTTGAGTTGCCTTTGCCTAATCGCAGTTGGCTGCTGCAGCCACTGCTGCTACACCATTTCATGAAATTAATGAATTTTTTCGCATAGATCTTTGGGAAATATCGGAATGGGGTATATTAAATTGGGCAGATTTTTGACAGAAGCTGCAAGGTGGCAGTTACAATGAAGTTACAATATTTTCGATTCTCTCTCCTCAGTTATCGTTTCTCTTTTCTTTCTTCCCTATCTCTGCCAATTTCTCATGTTTCACTTCTCATTTAACATTTTCTCTCTTAATTCTTCTCACTTTACGCTTCTTTCTTTTCTTTTTTTTCTTTCATTTCTCTTTTCTGTTTTCTTTACTCTTTACTTTTTCTCTGTTTCTTTACTCAAATCTCTCTTTCTTCTCTCTCTCTATATATATATATTTTTTTTCTCTTCTCTCGCTTCTCTGCTCTCTTCTCCTTTCTCTCTTTTCTCTCGTTCTCTCTCTTTCTCAGCCTTTCAACATTTCTTCTTTTTTATGCTTAACGTAGCTCTGTTATATTTTCACACAGATGAAGTTATTTATTTTAATTTCCTCCACTTCCCAGGGTATCTGTTAGTTGGGCTGCCACTGCACTCTGCATTCTAACTAGTTTAACATTTAAACATTGCCTGTGGCTGATTTCAGCTGCTGCCCAATGCTGCACCCACAGACGCGTCGGATAGCCACATGGGGCAAGCATTGAGATATCCAATTGAAAAGCAGCAAATCAAATGAAGTTCTAGCTAGGCATGATTGACGCAGCAGCAGCAGCAGCAGCAGCAACAACAACAATGCTGGGAATGTCTTGAAATTGCAAGCTAGTTAAATTATAATACGTATATAGCAGCCAAGCATGTGGCCACGGCAAGTTCGTTGCCTAAGTCTTTTGTTTGCCAGCCATTGTTCAGCTGGCTCTGGTATCAATAATGAAACATGTGCACATTTTTCACACACATTTTAATTTGTTTAAATAAATATGAAGCAGGCACAAGTAAATGACTTCATTTTTGTTTACTATATTGTATTACCTAACAGCAGAGACTGAGACAGGGACAGGCACGGACACAGACGAAGCATCATTCTCCCAGCTAATGACACTGTTTGTACAAATCTGTTTTGACACCCAAAAAGTAAAAAACGACAACAAAAAAAAAGAAGCAGCTGCCACTTTATAAACATTTAGTTGGGTGCTAATTAAGACAACAACAACAAAAAGCAAAGTTTTCGCTGTATTTTTTTTGTGTGTTTTATGCACAGCTTTGCTTTAGCTTTGGTTTTAGCTTTAATGGACGCTATTATCAAATTATGAGCAAACGCACTCATGATGGCATCATAAACGTCTGCGTGTGTGTGTGGGTGTTCGCATGTCCAGCATACAAATAATTTGTCCACTGGCCTGCATTTAACTGTAAATGATGTAGATATAAATTTATTTTAAGCATGCAGCACATGGCCAAAGCCAAAAAAAAAATAAAGGAAAAAAGAAAAAGCTACGCAATTTGCACTTGTTATAGTTAAATGCTGGGCGTTAACTTCGTGAAATCCAACGTTTGGCATTCACAATAAGCATAGCAGCTCATAGCATAGGTATGCCGATCTTACATAATCCAGCGATTGGACGCGTTCATGAAATACGAAAAAGTGAGAGATATTTTTGTTACTGTTTCTCTTTTTATATTGAAAATATTGTGTGTAGAGGGTGTATTGGTTTTAGTTAAAGGGACCAGGAAGTTGTTAATACCCTGAAGTATATGTATAGTTATACAGGATCGCCTTAGTCTAGTTGTTCGTTTGTATTTCTTTTCTGTATAAAAATTTATGAGCTGGAGACTTGTTAGCTAGTATAGGAGCTATAGTATAAGAGCTGTTATGTGAGCTAGTATAACAGCTAACTAGTATAAGAGTTGAGTAGCTAGTATGTATAAGAGCTTTTAAGCTGGTATAAGACATTAGAATACATCAGGACAGCGCTGGATCCTGATCAATTTGTCTTAATGTATAAGAGTATTATAATACATAATATATATAATATATAATATATAATATATAATATATAATATATAATATATAATATATAATATATAATATATAATATATAATATATAATATATAATACATACATAATAATATATAAATATATATACGAGTAAGACCATAGTACACTTCGTCTTTGTGAGTGAATGTAAAAGATGAAAAGAGCTGGAGTACGGCTAGCTTGCATAAGGATAGATTTGTCCTTGTTGGTCTGTTCGTCAAAGTGTATAAGAGCAGGCTACGAGTTACGAGAGCAGATATAAGAGTTAGCTACTTTAAAAGCTAACTGGTCTAAAAGCTACATACAAATTAGGATATGGCTGGCTTATGCCCGTATATTTAAATAAATGTATTGCAGTATAAGAGTAAGAAGTTAACCAAATAGTCTGCGAGCTATAAATGAGTTTATCATTTATAATTTCGTCTATCTGAATGATTGTATAAGAGTATAAAAGTCTATCTAGCTAGTCTCGGAGATAAAGACGAGTTGAACTATATTTGTCTGTCTGTTTTAATGCATAACAGTATAAAAACTAGAGTTTTGTCGATTAGAACTAGTTAGTATACTCAGTCCTCCTATCTGACAGAAAGTATAATGGACGCTATTATCAAATTATGAGCAAACGCACTCATGATGGCATCATAAACGTCTGCGTGTGTGTGTGGGTGTTCGCATGTCCAGCATACAAATAATTTGTCCACTGGCCTGCATTTAACTGTAAATGATGTAGATATAAATTTATTTTAAGCATGCAGCACATGGCCAAAGCCAAAAAAAAAATAAAGGAAAAAAGAAAAAGCTACGCAATTTGCACTTGTTATAGTTAAATGCTGGGCGTTAACTTCGTGAAATCCAACGTTTGGCATTCACAATAAGCATAGCAGCTCATAGCATAGGTATGCCGATCTTACATAATCCAGCGATTGGACGCGTTCATGAAATACGAAAAAGTGAGAGATATTTTTGTTACTGTTTCTCTTTTTATATTGAAAATATTGTGTGTAGAGGGTGTATTGGTTTTAGTTAAAGGGACCAGGAAGTTGTTAATACCCTGAAGTATATGTATAGTTATACAGGATCGCCTTAGTCTAGTTGTTCGTTTGTATTTCTTTTCTGTATAAAAATTTATGAGCTGGAGACTTGTTAGCTAGTATAGGAGC